GTCGTTTCTTAGCCCAATTCGCATTTCCTCTTTGGGTTCTGAATATATGGTCCATTGCCCCGAACTCTTCTTCTTCGCCGAACCCTTAATCACCGATTTGATGACTCTAACTGGTCTTGGGCTATGAAATATGGTCATAATTCTCTAATGCTCGTAGTGTCTTATCATAAGTCCGGGAAAAAGCTCCAAATCTGCAATTTCCTATAAAACAGTACCAAAACTACGAAAACACTAGAAAACGCATATTAGTAATAAAAGTAGCTCCGTAGAGCTCAAATAAACACAATTATGACCATTGGGATGGGGAATAAATATATATATAAAATAGACTTTTTAGTAACCTGCGAGCGTGGCACTTCATGACGCGGGCGCGACATTTCGATGCCCTGATTTCCCTTGCTCCTAAGCCGTAGCCTCTGCCTAGTTGAGAAAGGCCTCTCCACCAACCACCGCGGGTGTGGCTTCCTGGGTTTTGTAGTTCCGTACCCAGCTTGGAGAAGGCGCGGCCTTGCTTGAGAGGGCTATCCTTAGTTCGTTATTTCCGAATTTTTGATGCACTATAAATGGACTTTCTCTTGAATTTACGAAGGGGGCCTAATTTTTCCAATTATAATTAGAACTTTATAGTGAGAGAAACTCTAGTATTTTAGAGAGAGAAAGTTTTTTAATCTTCAAGTTTCATCATTTTAATCAAGATTTCTTCAAGTTTTCCTCAATTCAATGCAAGTACTTCATGTTTTCCTCATCAATCAAGCTTCATAGTAGTAATCTCTTTTGCTCTCTACCTTTTGTTTGGTTTAATTGCTTTTGATAGTGTTGATTTCCGTCTATTTCCTTGATTTTACTTGTTTGATTACTTTTTCCTTTGAATTTGAATCATTTTTAGCTTTGTTAAGATTGAATCCATGCTTAGTGTAGTTGTGATGGCTATTTTCTCTTCTTTAGCTTAGATTTCTAGCTAGGGAAGGGGGTGAAGATCATGATTGATTGGGATTATATTGATGAATGATTGGATTTAGGCTTGAGTTGATGATTTTTTGCTTAAATTACTTGGAGTTATAGATGTGCACCTTTAATTCCAATATTTGAGTTCTAAATTAGATGTATGGGAGTGATTTAGTTTAGTTTTAATCTATTTCATAAATTTGCTTGAGTAATTGCATGGGAATGAATTATTTGAGTAGAATTTGTATTCCTTGGCATGAATCATTGTTTATTATCATTGTTGTCTTAGTTGATCATGATTGGAACCCCCTCTTCCTAGTGTTTTGATCATATTTCTCTCAAATCTAGTTTTCCATCCTTATTTTATTGTTTCTAGTTTTAACTTTCTTGATTTGCTTGCTTTAATCTTTCTAGTAATTAATTTGATCATAGAAATTCACAAAAACAATCAAAATTCCCCTTGTTACTTGCAATAGATTCTTAATTCCACTTTGATTGTGTAATGCCCCGTTTCCTTGAGGTTCGACCCTAGCTTGTCACTATCTAGTGTGAACTTGATAGAGTTAGGTTAGAATATAAATTGTTGATTTTATTTAGGATAGTAGACACAGCCTATTATCCGGCGATCAGGACTTCAGTTTGCCCTCAAGTTCAGATACCCTCTTCTGGGCCACCTTTAGCTTCTGCTTGACCTGCAGGTTGGCCTCCGCTTGAGAATGCAGGATATCATGGGTCAGTACTTCATTTTTACATATGTCAAACATGGCTTGGTCTAGAGTAGAGGCGGCCCTTTCTTTGGCGCTCTTTACCTCTTTTTGTTTGTCTTAGAACGACTTCTTAAGCCTATTCACCCGTAGCATGGCCTGCATCCGGCAATGAATTTCATCAATAAACAGATGGTACGAGAGGAGTTAGAAATATTTTCTAACTTAAAAACAGGTTACCTCAGCTAGCAGGGCCAAAATTGCATCAAAATTGAGGGTGCCAACCCCCCTCACGGAATCTCACTCCTTGGCAGAGACGGCGTTCAGCATGTTCTTAGCAAACTGCTGTATATCCAGCCTCTAGGCAACATCTCCACATTCAACACTTTGTGAGAAGTTGACATAAGCCCAGCCTATAGACCGGGTGTCTTCAGAGCTATTAGGCGAATGCTGATAAGAATTTACCCAATTAGGGTAAGGTAATGGATTGAAGACACTAATACTTGGGAGCTTAACCTCCAAGTCTTGAGGATACCTGTCTTTGCGTCTGTCTAAGGCATGTCCGCCTATTGCTGTTGAGCCGATAACAGAATTGAGTGGCTTGCCACTCTTCGATGTCCGAGGGGCGTCCAGTTTTTAAGTGCTTCAAAAGAAGCAGGTGACTTACCGACAGTAGAGGGATGAGAATCGTCTCAAGTCTTGGCAGCAGATGGATTTTTCCGCGCCACATATTTCCTCGATTTTGAGGGCATCCGGTCCTCTTCAACAAACGAATGTCAGTGGCTTATCGCCAAAATTGGGGGGAGTAGGCGGCTTTGTTGATCTTTCCTGAAAATAAAGAGGTTAAGCCGTCAAGTTCAAGAAAATAAGGTTCGCCTGACTATGACAAATATGGAAGACTTACATGTTCCAGCTGATCTTTCTTTACCACCTGGTTTTTCTGCCAGATCATTTGGCGATAGGTGGCACAGAAGCTAGCAGGTTTCTTACTTGGAGAAAGCTGTGTTATTGCTTCTTCTGCAAAAAAGGCCAGATGAGTGTCAGTAAAATAATAATAATAATAATAAATATATATATTTTCCTAAACGGTCTCATCCGACCAGCTACCTTTAGTTTTTTCTGTGCTAAGGCCACAGGCGGCTAAGTAAAAAGGGTCTGTTAGCCACTCAAACCTAGGGATGTAACTATGGGAAATTATCTACCTTTCGTTCCCTCCCTCTAAGATTTTGGTGGAGACCTTAAACAAACCAGGCGTCAAAATTTGATCCTAGCATTCATCAGGAACGGGTGGGAGGATAGCCTTCTGGCTTAGAATGTATGGGTTCCTATTCCAAGTATTATACTTTTGGTTCCGCCTGGTATCTAGCGAGGAGATAATACAAAATCGGTTCCGCCAGTCCTTCCATTTTGATTCCTTGCCCAAGGTCATCATGAACCCTTTGTGACAAGTTAGGGTGTACCACACAAGGCCAGCTACCTTAGGAGCCTTACTCAAGTAATGCATCGAAGCAAAGGCCTTGAAGCCCGGTTTCACCCCAAGCATCTTACAAGCGGCAACGTACCCAAGAACGTTCACCCACGAATTGGGGGCAAGCTGCCAAACTCCCAGGCGGTATCCGTCTAGGATTTTCTCAACATCCTTGTCAAGAGGAAATTTCAAGCCCGCCTGTATCGCTGCTTCGTAATAGTCGAAGCATTTTAATCCAAAACTCTAATTGAATGGCCAAACGATTGTATCATCCAGGTCAGCGACATGAATCTCATATCCGGCCCCCATGACATAGGTATCCCGGAATTCATCTAGCTTTTTTAACATATTTATGTGAGTCCCAGCAAAGATATAAATGAAATAGGGAGTGAATTCTTATCGAGTAGAGGAAGAATCCTCCCCTTATCCTCTTTCATGAGATGCGGCCTCCTCCTCAGAGTCGGAGGCAGACTCAAAACTTTCTAGCTCTTCATGGGCTACAGGCGGCTCAGTTCTATCATTGGAACTGCCTAAAATAGCATCCGATCAGGATGACCCTTGTTCAGAGCCAAATGCACTATTATCAGGCCCATCATCTGACTCGTTCAGAATGGAGTCCTCCGGCGTGCTTGGAGTGCTAGGTGGGTGATCAAAAACTTCACTTCTTGGTACTCTAATAGTGTCGTCATCTTCCTCACCATCCATGGGGCCCTGGGTCATCCTTTTAGTTCTGACCATAGTGTCCTGCACAGACATAGAGACAGTCGGATTCGACGGTGTTTGCAGAGGGGAGCCCAAGTTGGGGCAGGCGGCACTCCTAGTCCTAGATTCAGCCATCCCTGGTGACCAGCTGACAACTACCCTAGGTCGAGTCGTGTGTGTTTGTGAAACCATTTTGAAAACAAGGAATAACAAACACAGACGGAAAATTAAAGAACAAGAAAGCGATGGAACTGGCGGTTACCTTGTATTGAAGGTACTGTTGTAACTTCTTGGGTCGGCTGTGATGCAAGCGGATCAAACTCAAGTGGCAATAAACAAATTCTCTCAAAAGTCAAAGATTCTCTCTCGAAAAAATTTCGTGAATATGCGAAAGTGAGGGGGGTGAAACCTATTTATAGAGGGGTAAAGTTTCAAGGGCAATTATGAAATTTACTCCAAAAGGTAAACAATAAAAAAAACCTGTTCACCCATGCATGCATGACACTTGTCACAGGCGTGATGTGGCGTGCCACATCACCCTTGTGAGGGGCAAATGATTTGGGGATTTTTACCCCGCCACGTGGTCCGATGAGAGTGTGATACGTGTCACCCTAAAAGGAGTCCAAATGGACTCACTTGGACTTAACACATGGCATGCAGATATTCATTAGGGAATGACGGCCTTCAGGGCCCAGTTCCCGAGAAAGCGTCAAAGAGGCGCAGCCCACCAAATCTAAGGGCACATTTACCAATGACCCTATAAATAGGGAGATTTACCCCATTTTGGGGACACGTTCATTTATTACAACACAATTAATTCTCTCACATTAGAGAATCACCTAATATCTGGATCCGAGAAGATCTACTTTAACTTTCCGCACTTTTTACCTTACTTCAACCGGTTCTAACTTGATCGTCGGAGGCTTCCATTGTTTTGCAGGTACAACCGACAAGGAATCCAGTCTTGGTGATGTAACTCTCTCGTAGGACACAAAAAACCCCGAAACACCTTGAGCTAAGTTAGAATCCACTACTAAGATTGTTAGAAACAACAGCTAAGCATCCTGAATCCTTGAGAGAGCATCAGCAACCACATTTTCTTTACCAGCTTTGTCTCGGATTTCATAGTCAAACCCCATCAACTTAGATAGCCAAAATTGTTGAAAGGGAGTAGAGATCTTTTACTGCAGTAACCATCCAAGACTGTTTTGATCAATATTGATAATGAAGTGAGCACTTATCAAGTATTGTTCCCACCTTTGAATAGCAAAAACCAAGCTAACAGTTTCTTCTCATAGACTGATAATTTCTTCCAATTAGGTCCTAGTGCTCTGCTTATATATGCTATAGGATGGTTATCTTACATTAAGACAACACCAATACCATAATTAGAGGCATCAGTCTCTACTACAAACATCTTTGAGAAATCTAGAACAACCAAGACTGAGGCACTGTATAAAGCCTCTTTTAATTGAATAAAAGCCTTGTGAGATGTTTCAATCCATTCAAAAGCACCCTTCTTCAGTAACTCAGTCAATGGTTTACTCATGACAACATTTTCCTTAACAAACCTCCTGTAATAACCAGAAAGGCCCATGAAACTTCTCAATTCTTTCACTGTAGCTGGACTTGGCCGATAGTTAGGTGCACTGATCTTAGTGCGATCAGTTTCAACTCCTTTTTCAGAAATGAAATGCCGCAAGTACTCTACCTTTATAGTCACAAAAGAGCATTTGCTCAGCTTATAATAAAGTGAATGTCTAGTCATTAACTCAAATACACTAGCCAAATGCTGCCAGTGCTCTTCCAAGCTCTTGTTATACACTAAGATATCATTAAAGAAGACCAGTACGCACTTTCTAATAAGGGGCTTGAAAACTGAGTTTATCTAACTTTGGAAAGAAGAAGGTGTTTGGGGTAAATATAACCCCTGCCACGTAGCTCTATGAGGGCCTGACTCGTGTCACCCTCATACAGGCCTAAGGGGATCCAATCAGAGAATTCCACGTGGGCATTGAACCCCCAATGGGGGAGCAGATTCTCATCTGCTATAAATAGAGGAATCATCCTCATTTATGGAGATTCATAAATACATACAAAAAACCCGAGCATTATTAATTGCGGAGTCTCTCTAAATCAGTGAGAAATACCTATTTATTTTCCGCACGTTTACCCATTCGTAATAATACTAACTTGATCATCGGAGGCGGAACTCCACCCAACTGGAGTTTCGTGGTTTTGCAGGTACAGAAGTTAGGCGCGCATACTCCGTATTGTAACTCTCCCGAGGGACCAAAAACACTCGAAACATTTGGCGCCGTTTGTGGGGAGGGTACTACTGAGATGGCATCTAATGCTATACCGAACGTAGAGGGCAGCCGGCCTACGGCTGACCCTGAGGTCCATACGGACCACGAAAGTGGCAGTGGTGACGACTACAATGTCAAAACCTATATGGCCCCAGACGTGTCATTCCGCTCTAGGCGCACCCGTTCCAAGAAAAAGAAGGAAAGGGGCCAAGATAAAGCTTATCCCAACAACCCAGTCGGCAAGCATCCTGGACAACCCCATGCGGCGGAGGGGGCAACCCCCGTCACCAGAGACGAACTCATGAACCTCATGACTAGTTCAAGGGGGAAATTAAAGACATAATCAAGATGTCAACTGGCTCCAGCAAGGGCCAGTCGGCATAGAAGCCTTCACCCTCTAGGAAGAAGCAAATCAAAGACCGGTTGCCTACTCCGCACCTTAACCCCAAGGGGACGGATGGGACCCTGATCAACCTCTCAAAATTTCGTTTCCCTGAATCATGGCAATTGAAGGCCATCCGACATACACAGCTGGATGGGTCAAAGAAGACTTTCTCTGACGCCCGGTTGTTCATCCAAGAGAAGAGAAGTCAGTGTATGTCTTAGTCGGCTTCAACGTCGACCTACTCAGACAGTTTCAGGAATTCTTCAATGAAGCATTCGAAGACGCAGCAAGGGAGCCAGTCACGCGGTGTGTCCGCACGAACTAGTCCTCAAGTTATCCAACAGGCTCCGTATGTGCCCTAGCGGCCATACGCGCCCTATGGATCTCCATTCATGCAGTCTGCTCCCTTCGGGGGTCAGGCGGCATACCAGGTCCAGCCTATGGACTGGCAACTCCGGCTGCTAAACCTTGGGAAACAGCCTTAGGCTTTCTCCCGGGAAATAACCGAGGCGGCACAGCCGGCCAAGGTTAAAAATGTGTTGGTTGGTGCTTACGACGGTACCACCAACCCTGAAGATCACCTAATGGCATACACCAACCTCATGTACCTACAGGGGTCGGATGACGCCGCCTTGTGCAGATGCTTCCAGGCTACCTTGAAGGGCATAGCCCAGCGATGGTTCGGTAACTTGCCGGCTGGGTGTGTCAACAACTTCAAGACTCTTGCATATCTGTTTGCGTCCAACTTTTCCATGAATATCCCTGCTAAGAAGACAAGTCTCGACCTAGGGGCTATACAACAGGGTGACAAGGAGGGACTTTGGTCCTATGTCAGGCGGTTCAATCTGATGAGAATTCAGGTTAAGGGGCTGCCTGACGAGGTTGCATATACAAACTTCTTCAAGGGTTTGAAGGATGGTTGATCTTTTAAATTTGATCTGGTGCGCAAGAGGCAACTGAGCTCTACGCCATCAAACATCCGTCGGAACCCAAGCGGTCTGACAGGAGAGACAGTCGGCCAAAAACGAAGAAAAAAAAAGAAAAGAAGTCTGGGGAGCTGACCACCCAGGTCAGCAGTCCCAGAAGAAGCAGAGGAAGTTTGAACCGTACGTCCCCAAGTACGAGTTCAAAAAAGACTGCTCCTCCATCCTTATGAAGATAAAGGACAGGTTGACAATCGAAAAACCGCCTGCAATGAAAAGCTCTGTTAAGAACAGAGACAAAAGCATGTATTGCCAGTTCCATGAGGACGTTGGCCTTGACACCAATGGTTGCTATAGCCTCAGGCGGCTATTGGACCGTCTAGCTGATGAGGGTACTCTAGAGTCCTATCTGGTGAAGTCCAAGGGCAACCCCAAACCAAGTGGGGGACAACCATATCTTCACTATAGCAGGCGGCTTCGCAAGCGGAGGTCCTACCATCCGGGGTGCCAAAGATAACATCCGGAAATTATCCAACCTAGAATATGAGGGCCAGGCGTCGAAAGACACCTTCCCTAAGGTCTTTATCTCTAAGAAGGATAGGGGCACGGTCAGGCGTCCCAATGATGACCCCATTGTCATCGAATGCAAAGTTGCCAATCAACGAGTTGGCCGGATCTTGATCGATACCGAGAGCTCGTCTGACCTGACTAGCTACTAGTGCTTGACAAAGCTCAAGTACGAGCCTAGCAGCATGCATAAGGCCCCCCACCCCTTGGTTGGCTTTGGGGGAGGGGTCGTGCATCCGGTGGGAAGGATTGACCTACCCATCCGGCTAGGAGACAAAGGGGAAGGACGGCACATGGTCGTCAAGTTCTTGGTGGTCGAGGAATTGACCGCCTACAACCTTATTCTGGGCCGCCCCACCCTCAACGAGTCCAAGGCTGTCATCATCCCCTCTCTTATGATCATCAAGTTTCAGAGGGATGACATATCAGTGGGTGCCCTAAGCGGGGACCAGAAGACGGCTAGGGAGTGTTACCTCTCAGACGTCAGGCCGATTGTTACTACAGCCGGTCATAACGAGGAACCTGCTGACCTCAAGGACTTAGAAGTCGCGCCTGCCCCCAAGGCAGCCGGCAAAAAGCGAAAGGCGGACCAATTGGCCCCCGTCAGAAAAGCAAAATAGCAATCACTAGCCGGGGAAAGGCCAGATGACTCCCGACCACAGCATTAACGTCGTCCTAGATGACAGCCGTCTTGACAGAACAGTCAAGGTTGGGACGGTAGCTTTTGAAAAGTTGGGGGCAAGCCTGCTCCAACTTTTGATAGAATTCAAAGACATTTTTACCTTTGAAGTGGAAGAGATGCCAAGCGTCAGCCCGGATCTAGCTGTCCACAAGTTAGCCGTTGATCCCAAAATAAAGTCGGTTAGGCAAAAGAAGAGGGATCATGGCAAGGAGAGGTCTCAGGCGGCAGCCGCTGAGGTCAAAAAGCTCCTAGAGGCGGGGTTCATTCGGCAATGCTACTACCCGGATTGGGTAGCAAACGTTTTCCTTGTCAAAAAAACCGAATGGTACGTGGCGGATGTGTGTAGATTACACAGATCTGAACAAGGCATGTCCGAAGGATAGTTATCCCCTTCCAAAGATCGATAGCCTGGTCAACTCTACAGCCAGCCATGCCTTGATGAGTTTCATGGACGCCTACTCAGGCTTCCATCAGATCCCCTTATGGAAGAAAGATCAGGAGAAGACGACCTTCGTCACTGATCAAGGGTTGTACAGCTACACGGTGATGCCGTTCGGATTGAAAAATGCGCCTGCTACCTTCCAACGAATTATCAACACGGTTTTCATCAATCAAATCGGAAGGAATGTAGAGGCGTATATTGATGATATGATAGTCAAATCCAAGCTTCAGGCGGATCATCTAGCTGACCTCCGAGAATTCTTCACCACCCTCAGGCGGCACAAGGTCATGATTAATCCCAAGAAGTGTGTTTTTGGTGTTGAGTCTTGGAAGTTTCTCGGATTTCTAATTGATCAAAGAGGCATAGAGGCCAATCCTGAGAAGGTACAGGCGGTGATTGTCAAGGAGGCCCAGAAGCTAACTGGTTGCCTGGCGGCATTAGGAAGATTCCTCATCCGGTCAGGCGACAAGTGCCTTTACTTCTTCCAAGCAATCAGGAAGAGGTCTAGATTTGAATGGGGAGAAGAAGCTAAGGCGGAATTTCAGAGGTCAAAGCAACACTTTCATTCTTTGCCATGGCTAGTGAGCCCCCTGCCTAAGGAGGTTCTCTACATGTACCTAGCCGTATCATATCACTCCCTTAGTGTTGTTCTCCTTGCTGAGAGGGACGGCAAACAGCTTCTGGTGTATTTCATCAGCCAGATACTTAGAAATGCTGAGCTTCGGTACCCTATGATTGAAAAATTTGGGCTGGCTCTTTACAAAGCAGTCAAGCGGCTAAAGCCCTACTTCTTGGCTCATCCGATGACTATCTATACTAATCAGCCACTCAAGCGTCCAAAGAATACCATAGAGTCATCCGGCAGAATGATCAAGTGGGCTGTTGAAATGCAAAGCCTAGAGATAACTTTTGAACCTAGGCGGGCAGTGAAAGGTCAGGCATTTGCCGACTTCATTGTTGAGATGACTAGGCCGGATCAGCAGGAAAATTCCGACCAAGTTTGGAAGTTATTCGTAGACGGAAGCTCTACCTTGAACGGCTGTGGTGCAAGCGTAATTTGTAAATCTCCGGAAGGGGATACCTATGAATATGCACTACGGTTCAAGTTTCAAGCTTCAAACAATGAAGCTAAGTATGAAGCCCTGCTAGCCGATATACGCATGTGTAAGGCGGCAAGGGCAAGAAAAGTTGACGCCTGTTCTGATTCACAATTGATTGTGAGCCAATTCAATGGTGACTACGAGGCCACCCATCCAGCAATGATCAGATACCTTCAGGCGGTCAAAGATGAGGCGAGGACACTTGACGAGTTTCATTTGAGTCAAGTGCCTCAGTCAGAAAATAATCAGGCGGATGCTCTTTCCAAATTGGCCTCATCCGCCACTTGTGATACGCCTAGGTTAGTCTTCTGGGAGGTCATTGAAAAAAGAAGCAATGAGCATGATCCCATTGGAGTTCTT